TGGCGATTGACCCGGGTCAACAAAATGAAATTAGTTTTTTACGGCAGTTATTTGTTAATAAAATAGGTAAATATTTTTTAATCGTTACCAAATTTAACATACATGTAGAATACATGTGGATATAACTTCGTTCCAAGTTTCATGTATATACTTTAATTCTAAGTACCTTTTTTAGGCGATTGACTCGGGTCAATAAAATAAAATTAACTATTTTGGGCGGTTTTTTGTTAATAAAATAGGTAAATATTTTTCAATCGTTACCAAATTTAACATACGTGTAGAATACATGAGGAAATAACTTCTTTTCAAGTTTCATGTATATACTTTAATTCTAAGTACCTTTTTTAGGCGATTGACCCGGGTCAACAAAATAAAATGAGCTATTTTGGGCGGTTTGGTAAATATTTTTTAATCGTTATCAAATGTTACATACGTGTAGAATAAATGTGGACATAACTTCTTTTCAAGTTTCATGTATCAATATACTTTAATTCTAAGTACCTTTTATTGGCGATTGACCCGGGTCAACAAAATGAAATTAGTTTTTTACGGCAGTTATTTGTTAATAAAATAGGTAAATATTTTTTAATCGTTACCAAATTTAACATACGTGTAGAATACATGTGGATATAACTTCGTTCCAAGTTTCATGTATATACTTTAATTCTAAGTACCTTTTTTAGGCGATTGACTCTGGTCAACAAAATAAAATTAACTATTTTGGGTGGTTTTTTGTTAATAAAATAGGTAAATATTTTTTAATCGTTAACAAATGTTACATACGTGTAGAATAAATGTAGATATACCTTCTTTCCAAGTTTCATGTATATACTTTAATTCTAAGTACATTTTTTAGGCGATTGACTCGGGTCAACAAAATAAAATTAACTATTTTGGGCAGTTTTTTGTTAATAAAATAGGTAAATATTTGTTCATCGTTACCAAATTAAACACACGTGTAGAATACATGTGGATATACCTTCTTTCCAAGTTTAATGTAAATATCTACATTCCAAGTGGTTTTTTTTCTAAATATATTGAATTTGTTGACCCGGGTTAACAAAATAGTCAGTCCCTATATCATTTTCTCCTAAGCTATCCATCTCATCTTAGGCTTTAAATAAAACATTTAAAAAGCGATTGATTATCTTAAGAGTAGGCCTGAACATCACTTTGGCTTCATTATTTAACCTCCACAAAACGAACACCCTAGAGAACAATACAGAACCAACTGACAGTTAGAACCTTACAGCCCACAGAATAACAGTGATACAGAGCAAAAAGTTAGTTGCAACCATAATGCACCAATTCAGAATGCTTTTCTGCAGTTACATCTTCTATTTTTTCCTTTTTTTAAGAAAAGTAGTGGTTATAGAGGTATAAAACTTATGAAAACATATGTAGAATGTCAGTTGGAACCATATGAAACCAAAAACTCAATTTCGCCAAAATTGTTAGTTAGAACCCTATTGTTTTGGACCCGCGCAGTAATATCCAGACAATGTCAACACACCGTGGAACATATCTTGTCAATCGTCTAAGTTTCGGAATTAAGACAGCACCTTCTGAATTCAACCGAATTCTTACAAAAATTTTGAAAGGATTGCCTAAAACCGAGGCCTACTTTGATGACATAATTTGCCATGGTTCAACAATGGATGAGTGCAAAAGAAATCTACAGGCCTGTTTTCAACGACTCTCAGATTTTGACTTACACATAAACAAACAGAAGTGTTCATTTTTTCAAGAACAAATAGAATATCTAGGACGAGTTGTGGAGTTAAACAAAATTTAAAAATCTCCTACCAAAGTTCAAGCTGTTAAAGAAATGTCACGTCCATCAAAAGTTGAAGAATTACGACGATTCTTAGGAATGGTTTCTTACTACTCTCGTTTCTTTCCAGATGCTTCAACTGTCACTTTTCCTATGCGACGTTTGTTACGCAAAAATAAGAAATGGGAATGGACACCAGAATGTGAAAAGGCTTTTCAACGAATCAAAACTTAGCTCTGCAGTAACAGGATACTCGTACCTTTCGATCTAAAACTACCGTTAGTCCTCACCACAGACGCCTCACCTACTGGACTAGCTGCAGTTCTTAGCCACTTAATAGATGGTACTGAGAGACCAATTGCTTACGCCTCACGTTCACTCACTGATGCCCAATGTAACTATAGTCAACTAGACCGGGAAGCATTGGCCATAGTTTTTGGTGTCTCCCACTTCTATTATTACTTATTCGGGACTCAATTTCAACTTGTAACAGATAATCAGCCCATATCAAGGATCTTCAGGCATGACAAAGCTCTACCACAAATGACTTCAGCTCGTTTACTCAGATATGCATCATATCTGTCAGGTTTCAATTACAAGTTGGTGTTCAAAAAGGGCATGGAAAATAAAAACGTGGATTGTCTTTCACGAGCTCCTCTTACACAGACTCACTCTACTAAAGACAAGAAAATCGGAAAAGAGGTACACCAAATCTGCAGCCAAGTTATTTTTCAAATTTCAAGCCATGAAATCACAGCTGAAATCATTAAGAACGAGACATCCAAAGATCCAGTGCTCTCTAAGATTTTGAAAGACCTGCTCACCAATTCAACTGATTCTGATTTTACTTTGATCGAAAACATTATTTTCCGGGGAGAAAGAGTATATACATTCCATCACTACTTAGAAACAAGATTCTAAATGAACTTCACGAAAGTCATCTTGGAATCACAAAAATGAAATAGCTTGCACGGCGCTATGTTTACTGGCCAAATATTGACAAGGACATTGAGCATCTTGTGAAAGGGTGTAAAAATTTTGCACTAACACGGTCAAATCCGCCCAAAGCTCCCAATCACCCGTGGGAAATCCCAAAAGAGAACTGGGAAAGAATACACATTGACTACGCAGGACCGTTTCAAGGCTTCAACTTCCTCGTGTGTATTGATGCTAGATCAAAATGGGCGGAGATAAAAGTAATCAAAGATGCACCATCCAGCTCCAATACCATACATCTACTTGAACAAATTTTTGCTACACACGGCTACCCGAATTTTATGGTATCTGACAACGCCTAAATTTTTCAAAGTGATACATTCCAAGCTTATTGCAAATTGCATGGCGTTTTCCAGAAATTCATATCTCCAGGACACCCAGCAACAAACGGCTTAGCAGAACGCTCTGTTCAAACATTGAAGAACCGCCTGAAGTCCACAGCTTCGGAAAACATACGAATGGCAATAAAGGTCCAGAAGATCTTAATGCGGTACCCAGCAACTCCTCTAGCATGTGGAAAATCACCCGCTGAACTTTACCTCCGCAGGAAGTTAAGAATACGAATGGATGCCATTTTTCCTAACGTACAAAATCCTTCAACTAGAAATGCTCCTCCTACACGTTCATTCAATGAGGGGGAGAGAGTTCAGGTTCGTCTCTTCATGAACAACAAGAACGTATGGGAGTTTGGAGAGGTAAATAAAAAGTTGGGAACTCGACACTATCTAGTTTCCCTTGATACGTCAGGCCGACTTATAAAACGACACATTGATCAATTGCGGTCCACTTTGATACCAAAACCAAAGGTTGTTAGGGCTGGACCAATCCACATATTTGATGTTCCACGGGCTTCTAAATGCACCAAAGGAAACACTACGGCTGCTACTCCTTATAATCAATTAGCTAATCCTGAAAGACCGTCAACTCCTGAAAGACCATCAACTGCCGTAAGAACATCGAATCCCGGAAGACCGTCAACTCCCAAAGGACGATCAATTCCCAAAAAATCGCCAACTTCCAAAGCAAACAATTCAGAGGTTCCAGAAGTTCAGGAAACAGAAACAAACAATGGTCATATTCCTGAGAATCAAGAGAGATCAAGGCGACAAAGGCAAATGCCGGGCCGATACAAGGACTTTGTGCTTTCATAATAATACACTGCAAGTTCAAAATAGTGGGGGAGACTGTTATGTCTTCTCTAAGACTGTTAATAATTCATTTATACCTATTTTACTATCATATGTTTTTCGATTGTTTTTTGTTTTGTAAACATTCATGAATTAGATTTTGTGTTGAGTTAATATGCGTGCATTTATTAATTATTTTGTAATTAATAAGAGTCATTTTAAGCAGAAACCATCCTACAAAGGTGCTCTGTACTTTAACAACCTACCAGAGCACCTTAAGAGAGAACAACCCAATCTGTTCAAGAAGCACCTGACAACATGGCTTATGGACCGGCCGTTTTACTCAGAGGATGAATTCTTAAACAATAAGCTACTATAAAAAAAAATATTTAAAAAAATACTAATTGTAAAATTGCAAATGACTGTAATAGTTGTACCTGACGCATGAATGTTCTCTAGGAATATTACAATAAAGAGTTTGTCTATTGTCTATTTTCCCTACTTGTTGTAGCACAAAATGGTGTATTTGTTCCAATATTCTTGGCTGAATAGTAAGTAAACAAGTGATTACGGAACAATAGTTATTTGTGCAACTAGTGAGAAAAGTGAGCAATTGACTCACTCGAGAGAAATCCTTACTCACGAGCCGTAGGCGAGTGAGGAATGGTTTCTCGAGTGAGGCAATTGTACTTTGAACTCGAGTTGCACATTATACTTTTCCTACAGTTACCATAAAACAAATAAATTTGTGAAGAAACATAACCTATTTTTACACAGAAGTGAACTTTTAATATAACATTTAACGTGAAGTGACAAATACAACAGTACAACAGCTGACCAGCTGATTTACAGCCAGTGCTGCCAACGTATTTCGCGCGCATACAACGTTGCCTGCATGTTACGCGCTCACTATTTCGTGCCTTCACGTTGCAAATCTGGAGTGAGACAAAGTAATTAGAGTGAGACAATGTTAACATTGTCTCACTGATGAGCGAATTGGCCACTTTGCTTTCTCAAATCAGTGAGAGAACATGTACATTGTTAGGTAACTGTAGGAAAACTTAAATTGTTTAGACCTTTTTAAAAGAATATTTTGTTGACAGTTGTTTGACTCTGTTCGATCACTGATTGCTATGAGACTAGCCGATTCAGGCAGAACCTGGAGTAAAACTTTCAGCCAGTACAACAGCGGAACCTACAATAATCAGTGGATGATAGTTGATCTCAAGAAGTTCAAAAAGGGGTAAACAAATTACAACACTCTCAAATGAGATTTAAACTTACAGTAGACTCCATCTTATAATTGGATAAGACCAATGTCCGGACATTGGTTACACCGGACTGCACTCGGTAGAAATTACATATTTTTTAACGGACAATTTTTATTAGCAAATCAGTTTAACTGGACTGGATCGGCAGGAAGTGGGCGGTACTGAAACTAATTCTTTTCTCATGGAAAAGATTTGAGACCAGTAATCATGTGTCTAAATACAATGCTCCCCAAATTCAAGTAAAATATTTCGGTTAGGTTTCTAGTGTTTAGTTTAAACCTAATTTAACGAGTGTTAGGAGATGTCTGTTTAACCAGGAAAGCCGTTATCCTGACTCGGTCCTGAGGAGTCTGGATAAGAGGAAGTCTACTGTATATTGTTTGGCGTTTCAGCTTTTTTCTTTTAAAAATTAAAACTATTTTGTAGTTTGGTGCTAATTTTTAAAGGTATTGTTAGTGTTTTATTATTTTCTAAGCAATATATCTTTTTGGGTTTGTCAAGAAATATAATTGGTGTAGGCCTACCTACATACCTGTACAGTTTACATATCATATTTTTAAGCCATCTTGAATGGTTGCTCTTTATTCCAGGGCAATACGCTCTCATAATACTTGGTATACATTTTGTTGGATGCGTAAGGTCCACATCTACAGTAATAAGCTGAATGGGGTGATTGAAGAGATAGAAGTTGTGTTCTCATAGCAAACGAGTCTTGATTTGTGAATATAGCACTAGGATGTGCAGATCATTTATACCAAAAGATAAAAAATGTATTTAAAAGATAAAAATGTTCTCTATCAAAATCAATACTCATTTCTAGACTTTTTTAACTATGTAGATGGTTGATACAGATGACATTTAGTCTGTTATAATCACAACAGGATGAAGCCTAAGCCTGGAACACTTTGGATATTGGAGCAGATTCCAGGCTACATCAGATACGAAGACCAAACATCACGTCTGGTATCTCAGGGTTACTGGCCTAGCTACAATGTGCCTTTCTACAAAGATGTGTTTGACCTTTCAGGCAACCAGGAGCTTGTGGACAAGTATGGAGATTGGTGGGTACTTAAACTGTGATGTAAAAACATCTATTTAGGCCTACAGGGTGTTTTTTTTTAACACAACCCAAATTACAAACACTGTAAGACACTTTTTAACGACAATACAAGTTCATATTTTGGTATCCCTGTTTTCTTAGCTTCATTGCCAATCAATCAGCTAATGTGCATTGTTACATATAGTTATCTTCGAGTTTTAGTGTTATTAGGAATTTATTGTGAGTCAGACTCAACATGCTGTTTCTACAGTTCTCAACGGGGAATGACGTATTTTGCGCTCTCAATACACACATCTATTGTATATTTAGATGATTGCTACTAGATTCAAGTACATTACTTATTATACCTGTCTCGTTTGATAATAGGCTAATAGTTTTAGTTGGAATGTTGGAAATAATTTTAAAATGTTATGAACCCCTTTTCCATAGAATCATTGTTATTAATAGTAAAGAAATTTAGCTTTATTCTTTTCTTTGACAATTTAGAATATTCTCTTTAACAGTTGGAAAGTCTCTTTGAATTTCTTCTGGCGTTTTGAATTTTCTTTAACGAATGGTTAATCCGACCCTTCACTTTTTTGTTTTCATGTCCACACAGGCCAGAAACACCATCCATTCAAATTTGTATGATTATGTAGCTTCATAGTGGAGCCTCGATAGCAAGACTCTCAATAAAAAGTTGAATTTTAAGTTGAATAACAAGTGTCATTTTTAAATACTCTTAATTACATGTTATTGCAATACTCAATAAGAAATCAACCTTATTTGAGAATGCCCATGAAAAACTTGTTACTGTATCAAGGTTCTTCTATATATATATATATATATATACATGTCCACATAACTACCTAAAGTAAAAATCCTCCAATTTTCATAAAAATAGTACAATTCTACATTTATATGAATGAGTTAAGGAAACAGCAAGTTCAGAAAAAGATATGGTTTTATGGGGTAATAATTGGTTTCTCAAAATTTTCAGCCTCAAAACATTATGTTTTGCAATTTGGATATTATAAATTAATTGATTAAATTTTGGTAAATACATTTTATTTCATAACAAGCTGTTAAAATTTCTCTAGAAAACACACTTTATTACATTCCATGTAGAAGCAACCCTAAGTACTAATTAAACCTAATGTTATTTAAATAATAAATCAATTCCAGGCACGTAAAAGGAAATATTGTAGTGAAACAGAAAATGCAATCAGGGAAATGGAAATTTGCTAAGTCTAAAGGTTTGCTGGTTGGGGTATTTGGCCTCTTTGTCAGGTGGTGACGTTGCTAACAGCTATGTACAAGGATTTCACAGTCTCGTGTATCTGCATATGTACTGTATATTCACTTTGATGTTCAACTGAAGGGAACATGAAAGGTAGTAATGATACACTAGTGATTGAAAAAAAATTTCAATATATAGTACTGTATGTTGATTTGTAAACACAAATTGTGTAAGGTTTTCTAATGCAGGTTTTCCTATGATAAAACTCCTCGAGCGCTCATCTTCCATAGAAACCAGTCATCAGTTACAGATCTTGATTCTCTTATGAAACTGCTGCGTTACAACAACTACAAAAATGATCCTCATTCTGTCTGTAACTGTACGCCACCGTACAGTGCTGAAAATGCAATTGCTGCCAGGTAATCTAATCTAATGCATAAATACAGTGAAACTCCATAAGACGAATTTCAAGGGGTAGGGGAAAATTTGTATTATCGAGGTATTCTAAATAAAGAGGTTCGGTTTATCGAGGTTTAATACTGCCATTATTCGTCTTAGAGAGGTTTCTCTAATACACAGCCACTTCCCAAACAATGACTGAGGAAGGAAGAGGGGATGTGTGGGGGTTTCATGTTGAGACAAGTTTCTGATTGTTTTTTAAACTACGGAGGTTAAGATTATGAGAAATTTGTCTTATAGAGGTTGCATTCGTCTTGTAGAGGTTTTGTGCTAAGAAAATTCGTTACATAGAGGTTTATCAGTCCTAGCCCATATCACAAACAAATTTGTCTTATGGAGGTTTTTAACCTAATTACTACGTGGTATAGAGGTGTTTTTACCATTGACCTTTATGAAATTTTCAAGGGGATTAAAAAAAATCGTCTTATCGAGGAATTTGTTTTACCGAGGTTCGACTGTATAACTTATTGTAGTAATAATCATTCCAGTATTTTTCATAACTCTTAATCTAGTTTTGAGAACTGGTTACACAGTAGTACTGTTAAAGAAGGCAGAAGCCGTTTTTGTGGCAGTATAGCCTATATCCTAAACATCTCCCATGGTCGTGCAGACTGCAGACATCACTATAATTTTTTTCTGCTGCGTCGGAGTCTCCAGTGGTCGCAACAAACCGTGAACATATCATGAAGTAGTGTGGACATCATCTTCTTCCGCTGTCCCAGAATCATCATCATCCTCTTCTGTGATCGCGACAAAATATTGAATATCCCACGCGGACATGTGAACATCATCATCTCCCACAGACAGAAAATAATCATAGTCTTCCTTGAATGTGGTGAGTGCATTAGAATTTGTTGACTGTGCAATATTTGCAGACTTGTTCTGCAATTGCGGCAATAAAAGTTTGGCTTGACTCGGCATATTTTCTATAAAATACCCTGAGTTTTGGTAAAAATCCAACTACTGCATCCAAAATTTAGGTTATCCGAAAGTGGTACGGTCCTACTCTATTAGGACAATCAGAGTTCTATTGTCCTGTATGTCTTTTAGGGTGATTTTCATAAAATTTAAAACTAACAAATTTGCTTACCTAAAAGTACACATTTACTGAAAACACATCTATAACTAAACCAATCATATAACGATTTCAGAAATAAATCATACTCATAGTTCCTCCCTCTTATCCTAAAACAGACATACATATGTTTTTTTACATACAGGCCAAGCAGTCAAGTCTAATATGCCTACGTAGTTATTGTAACTGTACTTGTATACAGGCCTAGGCAATCACTGTATTTATATAGGATAGGAGACAGAATTCCTGCTTTATAAATGAATTTTATAATAATTTCAATTTTCAATAACAAAGATTTTCTTATACTGTTTTTAAACCAATATTTGCTACAAAACTAATAGCAATAAGGAAAGTTAAAAGAAACAACCTGCTTGGAATAATTCAGTCGACTTACAGTAATTAGGCATACGAATGCGATGCTACGACAGCCGCTTGTGGCTAGGCTATCCGCCGCACCCTTCAAATGAGGATTTGCCGTTCTATTCAACCAGAAATTTTGATAAGACTAAGAGCGATAGAAAAAAAGTTGAATACAAACAGTAAAATATGTTTAATTGTCTACATCTTTACCACCAAAAAAAGACAATTTTAGTAGTTGACTAACTTGTTCAAGTCTCGTATCCAGTTTTTATCCAAAATGAACTTTATAAAATATTAAATAACATAACAAATACAGAGTAAATTTATAACGTCTACTATACTAATTTTTGCCGATTCCAAGGCGTTATATCATTCTTGCATCCCCTCGACTCAGTACACTTGGGAGCATTGCAACGCGCGTCTTGGGAACACAGCAATCAAATGAGTGCGTACACATGCAGCGCCAGTGCTTCGGCTACCACGCGTTGCAACGCGCGCCTCAGAGGTTCATCATGCAACGCGCGCTAGCAGCGCACCTCAAGTTAGAATGTTCTAATGGGACCGTACACATGTGAGCATTGGAACGCGCGTTTTGGAGTAGAGGAGAGTAGGTTTTATGTACCCCACTGTATGTAGACTCCCTCTTATTCGGACTCCTCGGGACCGAGGCCAGTCTGGATAACGGTTTTTCCGGTTAGACCGGCATCCCAAAAAACTTGTTAAAACGGAACGTTTACTGTGATATTCTACTTAAATTTAGGAGAGCATTTTATTGAGACACGTGATCACTGGTCTGAAATCTTTCCCACGAGAACAGTCGTTTTAGTACCGCCCAATTTCTGCCTATCAAGTCCGGTTAAAGCATGTGCTGATACAAATTGTCCGGTTAAAAGGTGTCGGGATAAGAGGGAGTCTACTGTTTGTTTACTGTGTACTTCTATATACAATACCTTACGGTAATTACGAGGTTCTCTTCTGTTGAAATCCAATCCCTAACAATGCTCTCACAAGGTGCTAGAAAGACTTTAACTTTCTTTAAATGAAGCAATTAGCATCCTTTAGTAATTAAAAAGCTTACGTTCTCATACAACCTCGATTAGGTTACAAAGTAAAAAAAAAATCACATACGAACTAAACTTTCTTGTAAAATTGGATGTCCCAAGTTTTCTTAGTGAATTTTCACCGGCACGGTTACCTGGGACTGCTTTATTTTTACATTTTGATGTCAACAAAGGCCAAAAACTTTATTAATTTAATATTTTATAATTGAAATATTAGCCTAAATTAAGCTGCAACGGGGGTATTTTGATTTTGTTTTAGTTCTTTATATCCATGGTACATGCCTGTTTTATTATAAATATTTTCAATTACTGTATGGTATATGCCTGGTTTATTATGAATATTTTCAATTACTGTATTGCTACAGCGTGATGACAGAACCCGAACCTCGCGGCAGCTGCCCCGGTGAGTGAGTCGTACTTTTATACTTACTGGTGTGCCATTTGGGTTCAAGGGGACCCAAAACAGATATATCCACTCAAAACTTAAACTCGAAAATGTTGACGAAAACAATACTTTCTCTATATTACTGTGGTATAGGGGAGAAAGTAAGACTTAACTGTTGTCTTTGAGCTGATAATAGCCTTTAAATTCTGACCATTGATTAATTAGAAAAATATGTAATCTAAATTGTCCTTGCTCGTCTTTTATCCTATAACTAGGGGTTTACTGTAGTCTCAAAGCCAGTATGAGTGCAGGTTGGAATGGGTGAGGTTCATTTGTCCGAGTTTTCAACTTTCCGAGTTTGTTAAAAATTACAAAATATTTTAAAAATCAGTTGTCCGAGTTTTCATTTGTCCGAGTTTTGATAAATAACTAATAATAATTAGATAAATCTACTGTCCGAGTTTATTAAATTATTTGAAAAAATATCGAAATATCAAGTGTCCGAGTTTTCAACTGTCCGAGTATGGTTTAAATAATAATAATATTTGGTTAAATCAACTGTCCGAGTTTTCATTTGTCCGAGTTTTCAACTGTCCGAGAAGGGTCAACATCAAAGTGACACTGCGCGCCGAGACTAGCGTGTCTAAGGCGCCTGGTCAGAAGCCGATGTAAACCTCTTCTGCGAAGGAGTCGGGCATAGAAGATATCTTCCTGAGGATGAACTTATCGGGAAGTTACAGGCATTCATTGGACACCTTAATTTGTAAGGTCAACAAGAAAACAATTGTCTGGGGTGCGCAATAATTCGATTTCGGATGAAGTGCTTTAAGGTCTTGACCTGCCCCTGTTAGATAAGATAAGATAAGGCGCCTGGTCAGAAGCCGATGTAAACCTCTTCTGCGAAGGAGTCGGGCATTGTGCGAGCCGTGAGAGCTTGGACAATGGGAAGGGGGGTTTATGGGGTAAAAATGGGGTTTTCCCATTTTTGACCCTAAAAACATAACATTTTGGAATATATTTCACAACCATTTTGTAGAACTAAAAAAAGAAATAATTTAGTATATTGAAGCATTGTTGTATGTCTAATGGTTACGGAGAATATAAAAAAATGCAAATGTTATTCTTATGGAGAAGAGGAAAACTGTTTTAGTTTTCTTGTTTATGGATATATGTTGATCAAATTTTGAAATTTTATTTATTTCATCCTATACTATTGACGTATGGTAAAAAAACACTGTTTACCTTCCCCGTAGCAGCAAACCTTAGCACTCGCTTATTTATGGAAATATTTTAGTAAATATGTAATCAGACAAGTTGAAATTCGCTTCGTCTGCAGGTTTGCTGCGGCGGGGGTATTTTATATTATCAGCAAGTTTGGTTGGTTGTGTTAGGTGATGACAGTTTAATTTTATAATTAAAAATTGTAAAATTAGTCTTATAATAAAAATAATATAATTCTTCTTAAGTCGACGTGAGGGGCTCTTGCGGCTCGCACAATGCCCGACTCCTTCGCAGAAGAGGTTTACATCGGCTTCTGACCAGGCGCCTTAGACACGCTAGTCTCGGCGTGCAGTGTCACATTTGATGTTGACCCTACTAGGACAGTTGAAAACTCGGACAGTTGATATTTCGATATTTTTTTAAATAATTTAAAAACTCGGACAGTTGATTTAACCAAATATTATTATTATTTAAACCATACTCAGTTGAAAACTCGGACACTTGATATTTCGATATTTTTTCAAATAATTAAATAAACTCGGACAAATGAAAACTCGGACAGTTGATTTATCTAATTATTATTAGTTATTTATCAAAACTCGGACAACTGATTTTTAAAATATTTTGTAATTTTTAACAAACTCGGACAGTTGAAAGCTCGGACAAATGATGTGATCCCGTTGGAATTATTGGTTGTGTTCTTACAGCTTATGATGGATGGTCAGTTTGTACAAGGTTGTGTTGCAAATTTAGGGAAATATTTATGAAAATCGTGTACTTTCTTAAACATATTATTTCAATTTTTAGAAGTGACCTGAATCCGAAAAAAGGTCGATACCCATTCCCAGCTCTGGGTCACAGATGTCATGGAGCCATTGATGCCAAAGTCACATCTTCTGAACTGGTTCACAACTTGACTTTCAAAGCCATTAGTGGTCCTACTACAGGAAACAATCTGCCTCTCTTCCGATGGAGCACGAGTGACTTCAAACACCTCCCTCACATGGGACAACCGGACAGTTTCCAGTTTGATCCTCTCACATGGCAGTGGTGGGGGCCTTTCTTTTGAGTTAGATACGTCAAATAATAAAATAATTTAATAAAACAACTGAACTAATAAAATGGGTCTTGGTGTTATTTTATGTTCCTGAACTGTTAAAAACAGACTGCAATTACATGCAGTTGACACTGCCAATAAAAAAATTATTACACACGTTGGATTTTATTACCAGCATTTTTTCACACACACAAATAGGTTTTTCCTACAGTCAGGATTTACTTACTTTGCCACACATTTTTTACTTTGTCGCACACCAGTATTCCAACCAAACAACGCCCGAAAATAGGCGTACGCTTGGAAATAGGTTGGCAACACTTACAAAGTAAGATACTACTACTAAGAAAGATACTAAGAACTAGTAGAAAGATACTACTACTACTAAGAAAGATACTACAACTACGATCAGCTGGTGCAGTTTTTTGCATTTTGTTGAACGCTTGGATTTAACCTAACCTAAAACATGTTGTTTACTGTTTGAAAGACTAACTATTTCTATGCTTTTGTAGGAAAAATATAATGTGTAACACGAGGGCAAATTGCCTTTGCTACACTCGAGAAACTTTCCACACTTGCCTGCGGCTCGTGCGTAAACATTTCTTTTGTGTGCAGCAAAGTGCCACTTCGCCCACTAGTTACACAAATAACTATTACAGGCTGGTTTTGAAAATTTGTTCAAACAGGAAGATTATGTGTTTAGGATTAGGCCCCAAAGCAGAACGTTTTTAAGCTTTCTGCAACAGACTTGCAAAAATCCAACAATTTTCTGCAGACTTGCACGGTCCTCGGTCCAAGCTGCGTGTAAATGAACCACATGTGTGATAGTTGTAATGAATATTTGGAAATAAATACATTTTTAAACACTCGTATCCCACTTGCAAAGGGCCACTTTGCCCACTAGTTACACAGTTAACTATTTAATACAAACTTAAAACCCTAAGAGTTAATATTTAAGAGTAATTTCTTTAAAGAAGGTAAAAGAAGTTAAAGAACTTAAAGACATAACTTTAGTGCCAGGAAAGCTTTTGTGCAGCAATTGTAGAAAGTTATTGAATGTTGTAAACACTGGTTCAAAAAATTAAGAAAATTCTGCATTTCATGATAGTGACAAAGATATTGACAAAGAGTTTACAAAAAAATTACTACAAATTTACTAAAAAAATAGGATGTATTTGGTTTTGTTTTACGTTTAAATCAAGTTGTTTTCTTTTGACTTTGACGTGTAATAAAATGTTAATACTCCAAACCACACTCTTATTTTTATAACATTTGAAAGATAATTTTAAACACAAACACACCAATACATACAGACTGGTCACATTCACTGTTATAAACTCTGGTTACTACAAACATTGATAGAGTATTAAATATGTCATAAAATTTTATTTTTATTTTTTTAACACATAATTTAATATTGAAGTTTGATCTATAAAATTAATAATACATATTTTTTATTTGTTATTGAGAGTGGTAAACTTATAAATTTTGCATTAAATGTAATTTTGTAATTTCTTGTAAAGCTATAAAAAGCCTTTCTTTAGGTAAAAGTAATGTAGAATATAGGACGATTTAGTTAGGGCTTTTTATAAGTAAAAATTTAATTCAAACAAAAATAACAACTTAATAACCCAATATTTTGTTTCATATTTTTAGATTTCTAGTCATTTGTACAAACATATATGAAATTGATGAACCTTTTGTATTTATTTAAGTTCATCATACATATTCTGCATCAAACAAAATTTTTAGCTTAATCAAATTTAATTTTTGACTTTCACGTGTGATAACAATGTTAATACTCAAAACCCCACTAATGTTATTATACCATTTGAAAGATAATTTTATCCTCTTTCCAGTGATATATAGTTTTATAGGTTTATCTGGAGAGAGATTTTTGCTATCATACCTTTTGTAACTGAATGTTCCGATTTCGAAAAAATCGAATTATTTGTATTTAGGAATTTTTTTTGGGTTATAATAGGTAATAGTTATCATTTAACTTGTGTTATATGATTCTGCATTAAGTTTTGGATATATAAGTAAAATTTGAAGCCCATATCTTCAAAATTGTCCTTTTCACATAGAAAGACGAGAATATATGCATTTCAGTTTAGAGCAAAAATAAGTCTCGGAAACTGAATTTGTGTGAAACTTAAAATGGCCGTATCTCTGAAGCCCTTGGTCAGAATGAGATAAAATTTTGGATTTCTTCTTATCTATACTTATATATTATCTATGCAAAATTTTATTGAAATCAGAAAACCTTGGGTGACAAGTCTACTTTTTGCTGGATGATTTGGTGTGGAATGACCCAGCATTTACCTTTGAGGCGTTCAAATGGAGACTTTAACTTTTTGTTCCAAGTAGGAGAAAAATGGGGTGGTTTTGTTCCTGTACCTGCTATCTTGTTGATTTTCTCATTTGAATGAATGTTTTCTTCTACTATATAGCTTTCGTTCTTTGCCAATTCCATGATGGAGGCAAGTTTCACTACATCTTGAAACGATGAAGCAGATCTTTCTTCTAATAATTTTGTTCTTATGTCTGAATTGCTAATACCTCTTATAAACTGCATGCGTAGTAATGTGTTTGCAATTGATTTCCCACAATTATTACAGTTGAAGTCACAGTCTGAAGATAACTTTTGAAGCTCAACGGAATATATTTTTACGGTTTCTTCAGATTCTTGTGTTCTTGTCATAAATTTGTGTTGTAAGGCCCAAGTACTAGGTTTAGGGTCAACATAATCAGCCAAAAGACTTACTAATTCAGCATATGTTTTATCCAAAGGACTTTCGGGAGCACACAAATCATACAGCTTCTGATGTAAATGTGGGGTTAAGGCATGTAGCATTGTGTACACTTGATCCTTTGGTTCCAATTCTTGGCTATGTAGATATAGAAATATCTCAAATCGACGAATGAAGTTCTTGAATGATTCATTTTCCTGATATGGTGTGAAAATCATTGAGGAAGTAGTGGGTGTTCACTTGTAGTTCTGCAAGCTGTCCCATACGTTTTTGTAACTCATCCATTACCTTGTAATATTTGTCCTCCATTTCTACTCTGTAATCTATTTCTTTCTCAATTTCAGCTTCTTCAGTTTTCTCTTCTATTAATTGTTGTACAGAATTAAATCTTTCCCAATAATCTTCAATTGTTGTTATCCTGGTTTTGATTACTTCTTTTGACATGTTTTGTAGGTTTGCTAGCCATCTTTCAGCCTTAGACAACTGACCCTTCACTACTACTCTAATCTTCTTTAAATCAGTCAAACTTTCAGTGTAACTTAGGTCACTCATATTAAAAAATAAATTGTAATAAATAGAATGTAAAAAAAAAATTAAAAACTGGTTTTCCTCGTCGCCAATCTGTTACATATTAAATAAAAGATGTGTAAAATAAAATAGGTGTATTCTGAATTGAATCCTAAAATAACAATGATTGTAAACAAAAACAAAGTCAACTTATTAAACATAACATATGGTATTTTGTTAAACATACAGTATGTTAGAAAAGACACATCACCAACTATGGCTCATACTACATATGGATGTCTTATTCAAAGAATGGAAGGATTTATTACATTTTATCAAACAAATTGCTAACTGTTTTGACCTGTAATTGTGGGTTTTTAAGATTCTAATCACCTTATCTTGATTAATATTGGGGAAAAAAACAAATACAGCATTTAATGAACCTGTAGACTGTTATAATATAAAAACCATTGACTATTAAATTGAAGATTGGATCAATAAAACATGGAAATCTCCCAAGATATTAAACAAAACATTTCTGCACAGATTTTAATTTCTATAGCCACTCAAACTGAAGTAGTTTCTAACTAGGGTTTTCAACGATTTACCACTACCAACCACCTATCATGAGCTAGCAGCCATGTTGCTTCCTATTGATAGGTCTTTTCATCTCGCCAGGATATCTACTATGACGATGTTTTCCTGATCCTCCAATCACGATTTTATAACTCCTCTGGAACCAATGTTAAAATATTTCATATTAACTCTTAGGGTTTTAAGTTTGTATTAAATAGTTAACTGTGTAACTAGTGGGCAAAGTGGCCCTTTGCAAGTGGGATACGAGTGTTTAAAAATGTATTTATTTCCAAATATTCATTACAACTATCACACATGTGGTTCATTTACACGCAGCTTGGACCGAGGACCGTGCAAGTCTGCAGAAAATTGTTGGATTTTTGCAAGTCTGTTGCAGAAAGCTTAAAAACGTTCTGCTTTGGGGCCTAATCCTAAACACATAATCTTCCTGTTTGAACAAATTTTCAAAACCAGCCTGTAATAGTTATTTGTGTAACTAGTGGGCGAAGTGGCACTTTGCTGCACACAAAAGAAATGTTTACGCACGAGCCGCAGGCAAGTGTGGAAAGTTTCTCGAGTGTAGCAAAGGCAATTTGCCCTCGTGTTACACATTATATTTTTCCTACAAAAGCATAGAAATAGTTAGTCTTTCAAACAGTAAACAACATGTTTTAGGTTAGGTTAAATCCAAGCGTTCAACAAAATGCAAAAAACTGCACCAGCTGATCGTAGTTGTAGTATCTTTCTTAGTAGTAGCATTATATTACTTCATCTATGGTAGTAGTAGTATCTTTCTACTAGTTCTTAGTATCTTTCTTAGTAGTAGTATCTTACTTTGTAAGTGTTGCCAACCTATTTCCAAGCGTACGCCTATTTTCGGGCGTTGTTTGGTTGGAATTAGGGATGGACGGGATTGAGTTTTTAGTTCGGGACGGGACGGGATTTTTATTTCCTCCCCGATTTTCGGGACGGGACGGGACGGGATTTTTTTCTGTGCATAAAAAGAAAGTCTTGAGTATTGCAGTTACCATTAGGCTTTACTACAGGTACAATTGGAGTACCCCAATCGGACTTGTCTGTTTTGGAAATGATTCCAGCTTCTTCCAGACGATTCAACTCGAGTTCTACTTTTTCAGTTAGTGCATATGGGACTGGACGAGCCTTCACAAAAATAGGTCTTGCCCCTTCAACAAGCTGTAAGTGTGCTTTTTTGTGAGGTATGAGTCCTACTC